GGTCCGATCATTAAACTTCAATTTAAAAATTTCCGACGCTGCAGTGCGTGTTCATGAGCTCAGTTTTATCCGCAACTTCATCAGAATATTTGACCAACAAAAACTAAATTCAACACATCCGTCAATAACGCCACGATGCATGGCGTCAAACGAATGAAACATATAAAAGGCGACGTTTACAGGCAATGCCCCTTTTTCATAATAGCTCAGATGCCAGTAGAGAGACAGAGTGGATGGAAAGGAGTGGAAACTCCGCTTGGTGACACCACGGGGGCCAGATGATGAGAATTACAGTATATATTTGTATTCCCAATGGCCAGTTTTCTGAATCTTTATTTAGACTGGAGGAATCCGATGAGCTATGAAGCTCTTCTTCACAGGTGTCCAGTAGGTTTAAAAACTAAATGGCATGTTAAGTTACGTTAGTAGTGGTTATTGCAGTAACAGACAATCCCCTGCAAAAAATAACAATAACTACTGTACTAAAGGAACTCATTTATATTAAAAGTAAAAATATAAAATGTTGCTGGCACATTGCATTGTGGGAAGAGTTGTTCACCATGAGAGCTACAAGGCAACAATCCGCCTAGCACTTCGTTCCTGGGCCCAATCACCAACATTTCAATACAAACAGTGTAATTGCCATTGGAATGGTCCTGTATTTTACTATAAAACTGTATTAATTCGTGTTATATCAACTCTTATGATCCACTCTATATCTCTGGCTTCTTTGAATTATTTGCTACGATGAAGGGTAATTTCCCGAAGCGTCACATGTTATATGCTTTTCCTTTAAGGCCACGCATTCAGTTATCGTGACATGTTGAGTTTTTTTTTCAATTTGTGCACCACTGCCAACGCAGCATAAATATATGTGCAGTGTGTTTTTTTCATCAGATTGCTAAACTGTATTTAATTATTTTAATTGTTCCACATTTTTATTATATATTTAGTACAAAGATCACCCGTATAGCCTTAACAGGCTGTTAGGACACAGCACACGATGGGGTGGGTGGTCAACACCACGTCCGGCCGCCTTTGTCTCCCCAGTGGCGTTGTGTTTACACACCACACCAGGTACTCATTTGAGGTTGAGTCGACCTAGGGGATGCCCAGGACCGGTTCACATAATAATAGTTACTCGTTTGAAGCTTTCGTGACTACAGGAATCCATACGCTTTGGCTTTTTCGGTAAAGTCACGTGGGTATAAAATAAAATACATCACGACGTTTCGGGCGCAACACAAGCGTCAGGTTCCCACCTGAGGACGAACGCTTGTGTTGCGCCCGAAATGTCGTGATGTATTTTATTATATACCCACGTGACTTTACCGAAAGAACCAAAGAGTAATCATTGCTGGTGTTGGCCGTGCGCTCGAATTGTCCCCCAGACGAATGTTGTTGCTGGGCGTGGTGCTGGCCACACGAACCTCATGGCGGGACCCCGGGGTCCCGAATAAACGGAAGTCAAAATGGTAATCAATTAATTCATTTTTGGCGATTCCGTCCCACCGCGCACATCAACGCCGCGACCCGCCTGGCGCTGATCATTCTGTTGCCACTTCGTGTCCAAGCGCAGCAGCAGCGAGGACGAATGCGCACAAGAGCTGAACAAGCGACTGCACTCCATGCTCGGGTATGGGCAGGATCATAAGTCTTACCCAAAGCTGCTCAAACTGCCTACACGACTTAAATCCTTTATGTGTCACCACGGGATGCATAATACAGTGAAACTGCTCTCTTATCTTCATTATTACGTGTCACCTACCAATGTCTGCAGCCAGGATCAATGGATGACAATCCAATTACCTGCAGATATTTAACAGATGACATGCGTTGCACCGTTAATTTCTCCTGTTTGATAATACTTCTCTTGTCCGTATGCATCTGTGCAGATAGGTTGTTTTTGCGGTTAAGCCAGTCCCCACATACCGCTCGTATCAATGCGGATAAGAGGAACGGCGACCCACTGCTCTGTAGAGTAACATTGGTGTAAACGCTTGTTACAATATGAACAGCGCATTGAAAACGCGTACTATTTTCTGTACTGTTTACAAAGTGTGTTCACAAATCCACACTGAGAAACACGATGATCGACAGAGGGGTGTAAATATTTTTTTCGAAAGTGTATTTAAATAGAGGTACTGAAGGTAAGTAGTTTTCAGTTTTAAAGGCATAGTTTAACAAGACAACACATGCCACCATCCTTCAAACCCATTGGTGAAAAAGAGCAAAGTTTTTGTTGACATTATAATATAAGATTAGTGCCGTTGCGGGCATTCGTAGGTGCTTGCTAACAGCACTTTCCCCAACAGTCTGTTAATGTCTATATGGTTGATCTTTTTCTTTACCCCACACATGCACGTGCTTTCACGTACACAACAATAACGCCCGCTATTCGCCACTAAGTGGCGGTGACATCACCACGGCCCCTTTGCCAGGCCAGGTGCACTTTGAGGCCACGTCAAGTGTGGAAGGCTCGCTGACAGGTCACGGGACAGACCCAGGTGCCATGGGTTGACTGACGTGACTGGCAGACGCACCAGTTGTGCCCCCCTACTGTGCCAACTCGCTACATTTGAACTGCCTGGCGCTTCGCTCATTTTTGCGAGCATCGCTCCTCTGCCCTCCGTTGTTGTTGGAGGGCGACTGCCTCCACCTGCCCACTCGCGTTCTTCACTGAACCTCCTGCATAGAGGCCGATCCGATCTTAGCACCACTGGTGCCGATCTTCGGCAAGTCCACCCAGCGCCCCCATCCTCCTGGACCAGGACCACATCAGCTCCATCTCTTCTCCAGCCCGTGCCGTGCCCGTTTAGCCCTCTCTATCCGATCAAACATAAGCCGCGTGGGCATACGGTGGCTGGGCATGCGGGCTACATGACCCAGCCAGCGCAGCCTGCCGTGCACACGCCTGCACACACGCGCGTACGGTGTTCGCGATGCCCAATCACACGCGGGCTGACCGCTCGCCCACCACGTGTGCTGGCCGTGATAAGAAATCGCCCCGTGTATGCGGCGTCACCTACGCGTTTTCATGGCCGGATCTGAGTTTTTTTTTTTAAAACGAAGGACGTGGTGCTGCTGGCGATGGTGGTGATGGTGGGGGCGGCATGGGATGGATATAACACAGTCCTTCGGTACTGCAATGAGTTTGCCTGGCGGTGGCAGCTACGTTAACACATCACTGGGGAGGCAGTGAGAGTTGGTAGATTACACACATGACAAGAGTTTTATATTTATATATTTTTAAAAACTAACTTTTTCATGATGACCAGTTTGTTGTTGTCATACAAATGCAGGAGTCACACTGTGAGTAGCCATGGAGTAACAGAAACAACCCTTCAATAATCACGAACGATAACGAAAGTCTGCGTGGTGAACCACTTTTGGGGGCCGTCCATAAATGACGTCACGCGATTTTGGACGATTTTTGACCCCCCCCCCCACCTCGTCACACATCGTCACAAATGTCTGATCACTTCCCTGGGTGCGTGACGTCATTTATGGACGGCCCCTTGCACCGTACGTAGCCAACCGTGCTAAATCGACGGTGCCCATCGAAACCAATAAATAAGCTAGTTTTTTATGATAAGTTAAATAAAAAAGTGTTGCTGGCATATTGCATTGTGGCAATAATTAGTTAAATCCACGGATCAATGCATCCCGGGGCCCAACCAAAGTGGTGGTGGCTGTGGCACTGTGCAGCACAACGCATCTCTAAAACCCAAATAATATTAGGTTTTTTCGGTAAAGTCACGTAGGTAAAAAATAAAAATTAATAAAAGTAAAATAAAAATAAGCTAAAAATCACGACGTTTCCTAAGAATATGAATCCTTGCAGTCACGAAAGCTTCAAATCTAGAACCCAAATAATTTCACAAGGAAACAATCCACCCCACATTGAGAACTCTCCCCCCCTGCCCCACTCACCACTCACTCCCTCTTAATGGGGGGAGGGGGGGGGGCAGGGGGGGGGGGGCGCTCGACTGCGCGTAGCCTGGGGGGCGCCTGGCGAGTCTCATGGGCGCGACTCGCAGGGGTCATGGGCAGGGGGTCGGAGCTTGCCACGGGGACTCTGTGAGGGGTTGTAAGGTGTGGAGCAAGGGTCGGTGGTGTTACGGTTAGGGGTCGCGGTTTGGGTCAGGTATTTAAGTCGAGAATTACGGTTAGGGTCAAGGTTAGGGTTGAATTAGGGTTAAGGTCACGGTTTGGATTTGGGGTTAGGGTTGGGAGTCAGGGTTAGAGGTTAGGGGTCAGGAATAAGGGCTATGGGTTATGGGTTCGGGATGAGGGTTATGAGCTTGGGGCTGTGCTTATAGTTGGGGGTAGGCACGTGGCTAGGTTCAGGGTGAGAGTGTAGCTCTGGATTTAGGATTAGGTTTAGAATCAGCAGTACAGTCATCGTTAGGGTCAGGAGCCAGGGAGCTGTGCTTGGGGTCAGGGGTCAGGGGTCAGGGGTCGGCAACCCGCGGCTCCGGAGCCGCGCGAGGTTCTTTAGGACTGCTTCGTGACGTCACTCACACTGCATAGCAGTTCTTGAAACATAGAATTGTTTTTTTTTTACAGAATTCTAACAAAAATGCCCCTTCTTATTTTGTTTGTCGATCCCTGGTCATGGTTAAGGGTAAAGGTTATAGTTAGTGTGACGGGTTGGGGATAATGGGTCATGGGCAGGGCGTATGATTGGAGAGCGCGTACCTGAGGCAGAGGTCGCAATCGGGTACCCGATACCCGTACCCTACCCGATACCCGTACCCGTACCCGGCCGGGTAAAGGGTACAGGTACCCGTTTGCGACCCTGGTGCGGCCGGGTACGGGTAAGGAATCAAAACCCGTTTGCGACCTCTGACCTGAGGTCACGAGCTGCCATTTGGGAGGCGTTTCTGGCGAAGCACTGCCCCACCCCTCACTGCCCTTTGCCTCCCCCCACTGCCCCTCACTGCCCCTGGTTGCCCCTCGCTGCCCCTCACTGTCCCCGGTTGGCCCCGTCTCTGCAGGAGCCGTCGTGCAGCTCGGGGCGAGCTCCATCTCGGGGGAGCTCTTCCCCCTTCTCGGGGTTCAAGTCCCCAGCCAAGCGACTCGGCAACCCGGCACAGGTGAGCTGGGGGGTGGAGGGGGCCACCTAGGAGAGGCGGAGACCCCACAGCGACAGCCCCGAGTCTCCCACACCACCCCCCTTATATACCGTGTGTGGCCACGCCCCTGACCCGTGGCCACGCCCCTATTTTCGAACCTTCTCGATGGCCCGAGACCACTCGCACTGCAGGCTGACTCCCCTGTCATTACCTCCCGTAACCACCAGTCTACTCGCACTGCAGGCTGACTCCCCTGTCATTACCTCCCGTAGCCACCAGTCCACTCGCACTGCAGGCTGACTCCCCTGTCATTACCTCCCGTGGCCACCAGACCACTCGCACTGCAGGCTGACTCCCCTGTCATTACCTCCCGTGGCCATCAGTCTACTCGCACTGCAGGCTGACTCCCTTGTCATTACCTCCCGTGGCCACTAGTCCATTCGCACTACAGGCTGACTCCCCTATCATTACCTCCCGTAGCCACCAGCCCACTCGCACTGCAGGCTGACTCCCTTGTCATTACCTCCCGTGGCCACCAGACCATTTGCACTGCACGCTGACTCCCCTGTCATTACCTCCCGTGGCCACTAGTCCATTCGCACTACAGGCTGACTCCCCTGTCATTTCCACCCGTGGCCACTAGTCCATTCGCACTGCAGGCTGACTCCCCTGTCATTACCTCCCGTAGCCACCAGCCCACTCGCACTGCAGGTTGACTCCACTGTCATTAAACACGTGTCCCGAAATGTTACCGCTTTGCCCCTTCCCCCTCTCCGCCCGCAGCGCTCCGCCAGCTTTAGAGGGCTGCAGCGCCCCTCGCCCCCCGCTCTCCGCCCCTCGCCCCCCACCCCCCCGCGCCGCCCGTGCCGCACCGCGTCGCGCCTGTGGAGCGAGACGTTCGCCTCGGAGTCCAAGAGAGAGCTCAGCACGCGGGACGTCCGCAGGCAGGAGGTAAGACGCCAGCGTCGTCGTCGTCATCAGCAGCGGCAGCAGCATCATTAGCGGTGTCATCATCAGCAGCAGCATCATTAGCAGTGTCATCATCAGCAGTAGCATCATTAGCAATGTCAACATCAGCAGCATCATTAGCAGTGTCATCATCCGCATCATCAGCATTATCATCATCATCATCAGCATTATCATCAGCAGCATCATTAGCAGTGTCATCATCAGAAGCAGCAGCATCATCAGCATTATCATCAGCATCATCAGCATTATCGTCATCATCATCAGTAGCATCATTAGCATTATGATCATCATCAGCAGCAGCATCATCAGCATTATCATCATCACCATCATCAGCAGCAGCAGCATCATTAGCATTATCATCATCATCAACAGCAGCAGCATCATTAGCATTATGATCATCATCAGCAGCAGCGTCATCAGCAGTGGCCAGAATGGTCCCTGGGGTCCGGGGCCCGGGGGTGACGGCCCTGGGCCCTGTGCTTTGGGGGGTCCTGCGCTTTACTACGTCTGACATGTCAGACAGCATCACCAAACGATGCGGCTGCTGTGCAATTGTGTAATTTGTGGTGTCATTTCCGAATTGCTTTGAATATTTTTTTAAACATCTGCTGTCTGTACAATAATCAACATCACCATCAAACGTAACAGCAGCAGCATCATCATCAATACATATCTATTCATAATCATCAGCAGCAAGTGTCGGTGAGCATTGCCAGCAGCAATGCTTCAATCATCAGCAATTGTATCATCAGCATCGGCAGTATCATACGTAATAAGAGCATCATCATCAGCAGCAGCAACATTATGAGGTTCATAATCGTCATCAGCCATACAAATTGCGATGATCATCATCAGCTGCTGCAGCAACACTATGATGATGATCATCATCTAATGTTGGACCCGTCTCCTCCTCCCCCTCTCCCAAGGCGATCTTCGAGTTGTTCCAAGGAGAACAGGACCTCGTCGAAGACCTGAAGCTCACCAAGATGGTACGAGTCGCCATGGCACAGCACGAGCACGTCACCTCGTCACAGTCCCCCCCACCCCCACACTCTCACCCCAGTATTTAGTAACAAAAACAATTGCAGCATTGCCCCCTCCTGGCGGACTTGCACGCACGCTGCGTTCAACTTGTGCCGCACAGGGAGAGCTGCCACTGGGGGGGGGGGGGTCATGCATTCATCCATCGCGCGTAGCCAGCGAAACACCGTTGCGCCAAACGCGTGACCTCTTGCGACCTCTTGCGACATCCTTCGCATGAAATTGCACTTGCTGCCGTACACCGGTGGCGTCTCGAGCGATTTCGTTTGACCCGCGGATCACGGGGGTCACCGAGGACATCGATGACATTACGAGCGCAAGATGAATGCGAGCTGTAGTTGTCGTCGCTAGCCGGTACGCGTGCTAACTCGCCGTGACCCCGGTGACCCCTGTTCCACCTGTGACACCCTCCCCCCCCCCGCTCCCAGGTTTACCAGGACCCCATGCGGAAGCTGAACATTATGAGCGAGGAAGAGTCGCAGAAGATTTTCGGCAGCTTGCAGTCGCTGGTGCCTCTCCATCAGGGTGAGAGATCATCATCATCATCATTGTCAGGAATCATCGTCACCAGCAGCAGAAGTATCCTCATCACATCTTTATCATCTACATCTGGGGATGCGCTCCTCATTTTCAGGTGAAACAAAATAAATGATCAAAATCTGGGTTTAGATAAAAAAAATTCGGATAAAAAAAAATTGTTTCGGATTTTGCCGCAATGATAGACAATCTGCCGAGGCTACTGCTGCCTGCGGTGGCAGTGGTGCACACATAACGACAAAAAGTCGACACAGTTGTCAATAACACCGTGGCCTTCATAGGCAACATAATCAACAGGCAACTTTTTGTACTATGCCGGAGGGCCATTATGAGTCACCTCAGATGTGTACACGCTCGTGTGCGCGCGTGTGTGAGTGCATGTGTACCTGGTGCGGTGTGTAAACATCGCCGCTAGGGAGACAAAGGCGGTCGGGCGTGGTGCTGGCCACCCACCCCCTCGTGTACCGTTCCGGCCTTCATAGGTGCTCGCTAACAACACTTGCCCCTACAGTCTGTTAAGGCTATACGGGGGATCTTTTATCTTTGTGTGCGTGTATGCGTATGTACGTGTGCGCGCGTCTTTGTTTTAGTTGTGCGCGTGCATGCTCGCCAACACCACTTGCCCCAACAGTCTGCTAAGGCTATACAGGGGAATCTTTGTCTGTTGTGTGTTTATCGCCGAGCACAGAGCTCGTGGAGCGGCTGCAGGAGGCGAGGGGTCCCGACGGATCCGTGGAGCGAATGGGACAGATCCTGCTCAACTGGGTGAGCATCAGCACCCACACGCCTGTAACCCAGCACTGTCGTATGGGATAGAGTGTTTCCCCCTCGCATGCGTGCGTCCGGGCGCTCCGGTTTCCTCCCACGTGTAAGCACTCATCAATTGGCCGATACCACCTTCATATATAAGGGATCGCAGAGCTCGGGACAATCGTCGGTGCCAACTCACCGCGTGGCTGCTGCTGCTGCCTTCCCGCTCGCCTGCGGCCCGTCCTCGTGCCGGGCTAGGTTCCCCGGCTGCGCCCCGCCTACCGCTGCTACTGCTCGAGCCAGGCGGAGGCGCGCGCTCTGCTCGAGTGGCGGCGCCGCGACGAGGAGAGGGTGAGCGACTTCCTGCGGCGCTGCCGCGAGTCGCCCTTCTCGCGCCGCCTCGACCTCAGCAGCTTCCTGGACGAGCCGCGGTCGCGCCTCGTCAAGTACCCGCTGCTGCTGCGCGAGGTCCTGCGCCACACGGGGCCCGCGCACCCCGACACGACGGCCCTGCAGCGAGCGGTGAGCGGACGGCATCGTCGCCGTCATCATCATCATCATGATCGCCGCTGCCGCCGCCGCCGTCATCATCATCATCGCCGCCGCCGCCGCCGTCATCGTCATCAACAACCCGTAATCACTCCTCCACAGCAAGGGGTCATTACAATTACCGTCATCATCATCATCATCGCCGCCGCCATCGTCGCCGTCATCATCATCATCGCCGCCGTCATCGTCATCATCAACAACAACCCGTAATCACTCCTCCACAGCAAGGGGTCGTTACCATTACCGTCGTCATCATCATCGTCATCGGCAGCGAAATCACTCTTGCCACCACCGGCACCACCACCGTCATCAATAACACTATGGACATCTTCATCATCATTATCCCAGCTGACCTCACCATGCTAACGATCGTGTAGAATCATGACCCAACAATTCACCCACTCACTCACACACATATATACATGTGTAGTGACATAGAATGGGTCACTAGGGCGCGTAGCGCTGGTTGCTGGCAGAGAGGGGGATCTGAAGGTGTAGCAGCCCGGTCTGCCAGCAGGGCACGTGATAGGCCGGAGAAAGGGGATGTTGGGCAAAGGTGACAGAGGGTTTCAGTTTCAGTTTGTGGTTCAGTTTCATTCATTAGATGTAATCCTGTGAGCCATGCGGCTCTTGACTCGGGTGCAACCGCAACAAAACAAAAACATGAACAAGAAACATCTCAAAGTGACTACACGCAACAGAAAAATCCTGGAAAAAACAGCAAAGTCTTCCAGAAAAAACACCTCATTTCAACGCTGTGTGCAAACATCCCAGTGGGATGCAAGTCAAACACGTGGGGTGAAGCCCAGAACCTTCTGGTAGGTTCCAGAAGGGGGCGTGGCTGAGGGCGGAGCCAGGCCACGCTGGGGGGGATAAAAGGTAGGCCCCGACTCTGGGTCGGGGCTGTCGTCTGGAATGGAACCCGTCATGCGACGTCTTCGGCGTTGTAGGCCAGGCAGTGTGCCGGCTGTCCTGACCAAGTGTGTAGTTATCCCCCGTGCCTGTGATGGCTGGAATAAATGTGAATGCCTCCTACTACTCGTGTCTCCCAAGTGAGTCACTACACATGTATCACCATCTGGAGCTGCAGCAGCAGAAGCATCTCTATTATATCCCGACCACAGCCTCCTCCACCATGATCATCATCAGCACTGCCAACATCATCATCATCACCGCCAACATCATCATCACTAACATCATCATCACCGCCAACATCATCATCACCACCATCATCATCACCACCACCATCACCACTGGCCTGGCACTCACTCTCCAGAGTGCAGAGGAATCACCGTGATCTTGGCCATGTGGAATCATCACCACCAACATCATCATCACCACCAACATCATCATCACCACCAACATCATCATCATCACCAACATCATCATCACCGCCAACATCATCATCACCACCAACATCATCATCACCACCAACATCATCATCACCGCCAACATCATCATCACCAACATCATCATCATCACCACCAACATCATCACCACCACCAACATCACCACATCATCACCACCACATCATCACCACCAACATCATCACCACCAACATCATCACCACCACATCATCACACCACCACCATCATCACCACCAACATCATCACCACCAACATCATCACCACCAACATCATCATCACCACCAACATCATCACCACCAACATCATCATCACCACCATCATCATCACCACCAACATCATCACCACCACCAACATCATCACCACCACCACCACCAACATCATCATCACCACCACCACCACCAGCATCATCACCGCCGGCGCGTGGCGGTCACATGCTCTGTCCGCAGCTGGAGGAGTCGCAGGCGCTGCTGGAGGAGATGGACGCGCTGGCCGGCGAGGCGGAGTGCCGCTTCTTCCTGGAGCGCCTGGAGCTCGGCGACGGGGAGCCGCGCGAGCCGCGGGAGCCGCGCGAGCCGGGGGCTGCGGGGGCACTCGGCGCCACGCGCAGCTTGCGCTGCCAGGGCGAGCTGCGCAACCTGCGGGGCACCGTGAGCACTCGCGCCTGTCGCCAGCAGCATCGGCATCATTAGCAGCGGCAGCAGCATCATCATCAGCAGCATCATCATCAGCAGCAGCAGCGTCATCAGCGGCAGCAGCATCATCATCAGCAACAGCAGCATCGTCGTTTTCACCATCAGCAGCATCATCATCAGCAGCAGCATCATCATCATCAGCAGCTTCATCAGCAGCAACAGCAGCATCGTCGTTATCATCAGCAGCAGCATCAACATCATCATCATCAGCAGCATCGTCGTTATCATCAGCAGCATCATCATCAGCAGCAGCATCATCATCAGCATCATCAGCAGCAGCAGCATCATCATCATCAGCAGCAGCATCAGCAGCAGCAGCAGCATCATCATCAGCAGCAGTATCAGCAGCAGCGTTTGTCGTCGATCGGCCGTCACTGTTCTTGTCCTGTTGCTGGCCTTGTTACTGTCGTCGTCCACAGCACTAATCATGAACATTGTCCATGAATTTATCATCACCCAGTGACATCATAATCATTAGACCTTCTTTGCCAGTACCAACATATAATAATAGGGGTTTTCCCCTTTTTTTCTGGCAACAAAACTGAAACCTTTTTACAAGGAATCATGTGTGCATTAACCACAAAACTTGCGGTCGTGGATGTCATATTTATTGTTGTTGTGGCCGACAGCGTCATTGTTGGTGTCATCTTCGTATTGACTACTCACTCGCCCACTTACTCACCCATGCATTCACCCATCCACTCACTCCCTCATCCACTCACCCACCCACTCAATCACCCACTCACTTACTCACCCACTCACTCACTTACCCACTCACTCAATCATCCACCCACTCACTCACTCACTCACCCACTCACCCACCCACCCACCCACTCACCCACTCACTCACTTACCCACTCACTCACTTACCCACTCACTCACTTACCCACCCACTCACTCACCCACTCATTCACTTACCCACTCACTCACCCACCCACTGACAGCCTTATCCACCCACCCACTCACTTACCCACTCACTCACTCACCCATTCACTCACTTACCCAGTCACTCACCCACTCACTCACCCACTCACTCACCCACCCACTCACTGACTTACCCACCCACTCACCCACTCAAACTACCACCCCACCCATACACTCACCACTCCCCACTCCCTCACCATACACTCACTCCCCTCCCCCCATACACCAATTTACTTTTAGATCTCAATTTAAAACTCATTTCTGTAGAACTGCTTACGGTGCGGAAAGAAAGTCAATATACATAGACCTGTCCTTGTGCCGGATTAAGCTAGTGCGGGGCCTGTAGCATATGTTATCAAGGAGCCCTAAAATAAATAAAACACACGTATTTTTTTACTTGCACAATAAAGTAATTTTATATTTCATTTGCTATACAGCCAGATAATACGACAAATCGCTCACCTTAAACACCCAGTCGTTCATAAAAGTTGAAGGCATACTCTTTGGTTCTTTCGGTAAAGTCACGTAGGTAGAAATACAATTTAACAAATCACGACGTTTCGATCGCATCACAAGCAAACTTCATCAGGTGGGAAGTTCGCTTGTGTTGCGATCGAAACGTCGTGATTTGTTTATTTTATTTTATTTCTACCTACGTGACTTTACCGAAAGAACCAAAGAGTACGGACTCCTGCAGTCACGAAAGCTTCAAATCAAGTTGAAGGCAGTATAGTACTATAGTAATAGAGCAAGTGCAAAATCACTGAACTGGAAGTGATAGCTTGAAAGCATTTTAGCGCGGGGCCCTTGAAAGTGCGGGACCCGCAGCTACTACATATGCAGCTACTTCTGCTACCAGGAACACATTCCTGCGGAGGGAGCTGGTAGGAACGTCGGGTTGCTCGGTCAATGTCCAGGGTCAACGGCGGCGTGGTGTATTCCGCAAATATGCCCGACTGTGAGAGCGGGCACAAGCCTTACAGCACACGTGTGTACAATGCCCTGTGCAGAAATGTGTACAGTGCTCAACTAAAGGTTTTATTTTGACCGGGCAGGGCCCACTGAGCTCTATACGATTGGGAAGTGACCTTGCCCCGAATGATGGCTCAACGAATTGGCGGCTTAAATGTAGAGATTGAGTGCCGTGGCCGCCTTCCCCACCCAGCCCCTCCCTCCCCACCCAGCCCCTCCCTCCCCACCCAGCCCCAACCCACCCTCCACACCCAGCCCCTCCCCACCCTCCCCTCTCCACCCAGCTCTCCCCACCCTCCCATATTTGGAATGCACGACGGACACAATAATCCCCTGTGGGCTGGTGTAACCAGAGGTTCCTACAAGTATAATCCGGCACTGACTTATCCACCCCCCCCCCCCTCCGTGCCACCCACCCACCCCACAGAAGGTGCACGTCTTCGTGTTTGGCACTGCGCTCGTGGTGTCACGCCCGGGCTCCCGCGCTGCGGGGGGCCGCGGCCCCCGCTACCGCGTCACGGGGAGGCCCATCCCCGCGTGCGACCTCGAGCTCTACGACCTCCGCGACGGCGAGGTCAAGGCGGGGGGCTCATTCCGGGGGGCCTTCGGGGCCAGCGAGACCGGTGAGGGGCGAGGGGGGGGTGAGGGTGTGGTGGGGAGGGTGTGGTGGTGAGGGTGTGGTGGTGAGGGTGTGGTGGCGAGGGTGGTGGCGTGGGTGTGGTGGTGAGAGTGTGATGGTGAGGGTGTGGTGGTGAGGGTGTGGTGGTGAGGGTGTGGTGGTGAGCGTGTGATAGTGAGAGTGTGGTGGTGATAATAATAGTGGCGGGTGGTTGACCCGGTCCTGGGCCTCCTCGCCTCGTGTCCACTCGGCCTTACATTATTATCCGGGGAGACAAAGGTGGACGGGTGTTGAGATGGCCACATCACCCACTCGTGCACTGTGTCAGCTTTCATAGGTGCTCGCTAACAACACTTTCACCAAGGCTCATACGGGGGACATTTCTATGTCTTTGTTTTTTTATCTTTATTTTGTGTGCGTAAACAACCGCACTTAGTCCACTCAATGCAACCCACTCCTAACACCCAACCTCTCTCTCTCACCTAAGCCGCATTCGTCTAACCCTCTCACTTAACCTCTCCGCTCTCTCACCCAACCCCCTCTCACCCAACCCTCTCCCACTTACCCCCCGTCCCCACTCCTACCACCCCTCACGTGACAGCCAAGAACTTCTTCAAGGTGGGATTCCGGAACCCGGCCCACGGCCCGTCCCACACGCTGCAGACCTCCGACTCCTTCAGCAAGCAGCAGTGGCTCGGCCACATTCGGGCGTCCATCGCTGAGCACCAAAAGGATCTTCAGCAACATCAACAATATCATCATCAGCAGCAGCAGCAGCAACAGCAGCAGCAGCAGGGACTGAAGGTCGAGGGGCCACCAGTGATGATGAGGAAACGAGGAGAAGTCCTCTCCAGGCTGCGCCCCGTGTCAGCCATGCTTGCGTGCCCGAGGACCTCCGTCCAGGTCTGTCCCGCGGCGGGACCCGGCGCCGGAGCTGGGAAGATCGGAGCCGGGAGGACCGGCGGTGGGAAGGGCGGCGGGGTTGGCAGAGCGTCCGGTGACGGGAGGGGTGAGCGGGCGGACCCCGGAGTTGTCGATGTCGACGCCGCAGGAGATGGGGACGGCAAGTGGAGGACGTCTCACGGCATCACGGTGAAGGTGACACCGGCGGGGATGTGATGGGGGGCCCTCCTCCCCGGACGACGAGGTTCACCTCGTGAGGCCGCCTCGAGGTCACTCCGCAAGGCCGCGTCGTTGTTATCACTCTTGTCGTCGCCGTTGGATGGTTCGTTGGATCGAGTCAGCAGTGGCCGGTTGTCAAGTTGGTTAAGAATAGAGTCAGGACTCTCACTAGTGGCTGATAGGCTGTTTGGTTATGGGTAATTCTATCACTGGTCGCTGATTGGCTGTTAGTTATGGGTAATTCTAGCTCTGGCGGCTGATGGCTGTTTGCTTCGGGGTGATTCTCGCTCGAGTGGCTGATTGGTTATGGGTAATTGTAGCACTAGTGGCTGATTGGTTATGGTTCGTGGCAGAGCTTGACTCTGATTGGCTGTTAGCCTCTCATCCGTTTGCCCGCCTCTCTGCGCTTTACCGCATCCCGCGTCCGGTGCTCACGATCGCCGGGGAAAACCGCGAGACCCCCGCGTGGGGCAAACAGGGATACGGGTCTCCCCCATACCCCGTGAGTTGTAAGGGTCGGTTTTATTGGGAAATTCATCGCTGCCACGAAGGAGTCTATTCTGTTCGCTCGAAGTGATTGTCAAACGTCCACGTCTGCACTCGCTCCGTGTTTATGATAATATTGCTCGCTCTGCAGAAACGTAGAAACATTATCAGTGCGAATGCTGGTTTAAAATATTAGCACGGTTGGCTATGTACGGTTCGAAAGAAGTTCAACGTGCACAACAATATACTTTCGTGCGTGTTGTCGGTCAGTGTAGTGGTAAGAAAAACTCAACTTTAAATGTTTTCACTGGATATTGTTTGTTGCACTATCAATTTGGCATGGGCCTACGGTTCACTCGGCAAGAATATCTCGAGTTATGATGATGTCAAATTGTAACGTGGTGCCGCCGCAGTCTTCACTCGCTCTCGAAGAGAGAGAGGACGACTCGGAGACGCGAGGAGGAACCACAGTCGAGCGGGAAGGCAGCAGGAGCCAGGCAACGAGGAGCCGGCGACACCAACACTTGCCAAAGCTCTCCGGTCCTCTGTATATCAAGGTGTTATCGGCCGACATATGAGTGTTTTAAAATGTGCGGAAACCGAGGCACCCTGAGAAAACCTGCACGTGCGACAGGGAAACACTCTACCCCAATCATATGGAACAGGTGGAGTCCACATTTTGCTGTGCCGCTTCTGGCAAAGCAAGGGCACGAAAACGTCAATCGACGCCCACGGGAAGAGAGTTTTGCAACGTTTGTGTGATCCGCCAACCCTCGCCACCGACTCCACATCGCTGGATTACACCGCCTGGCTAAGTAACGATGATTATAATAACATCAATAATGCTGCGTACGCATTCGTTATCAAGGGAAGCCTTCACCGAGTCTCGATACTTCTTCAGGGAGGTTTTGGCCAACGAGAGTTTATGCCTTCGCGTGCGAAGGAGGAAAACGAAGAACCCGGAAAAAAAACGGGGGCATGCGCACGAGAGGCGGTTCCACTCAACGCTCCGCGCTGACGGAATCAAGAATCCGTCACTCTACCGTCATCTCCTGGCCACATTGCACCCACCCCATCGCTCGCTTGAGCTTACAGCGCTGAGAATAATTGTACGTGCAACGTAAATGATACACTGTTACTTTCAGGTTAAGGCCTATGCACACGAGGGTCATGTAACGTAGGATATGAATCTAATTCCGGCAGTGGATAAAAAATTGCCATGTGTGGTGTATACAACAAAATAATAATGTGTTAAGACCCAGGACCTCAAAGATGTGCCCTGGCAGCCTTCCACCATCTAGCCATAGATATATTCAAACAGAGATCCAGACTCACACAGAACCCTATATAACGTATTTTCCCGCATATAGCCCGCATACGCATATACTGTAACCCGCAGACGCATATACCCCGCAAAAATAGCGTTTTGTGTAAAAAAAAATCAGATAGCCCGCATCTTCATATACCCCGCAGGGTCTTGTTTTGTTTATAAAAAGTGGTATACCCCGCGGGTTATATGCGGGAAAATACGGTATTCATACAGAGACCCAGAGACTCATAGATTCACACAGAGGCCCATAGACTCACACGGAGACCCATTGATTCACGGAGACCCATTGATTCACACAGACCCATAGACTCACACAGCCACCTATTGTCTCACACAGAGATCCATTATATCCCAGTGACAGACTCACAAAGTGACCCAAAGACTCGCACAGAGACATACACACGAACTTCTATAGAGACCCATAGACTCGCATCGAGACCAATAGCCTCACATAGAGACCCCGAGATCCTCCCTGACGCTCTGCCACCATCTGCTCTTCGGTCTTCTCTTCCCCCTGGTCTCCATGGTCATGGAGACTGCTCCGATGCCCGTCTCGGTAACCGGACCATGACAGATAACAGCACTTTGCCAGTGAAAGACTAATTGTCTCCTGGCAAAAAGCACAATGATAATATTGTTGATAATGATTCGTCGTGATTATCGTTTCGGTCACATTGAATGATTGGGGTCCAAATGGGTGAGGCTCTTAGAGTCGTTAGCCTGGGTGCCTTGCCTGGGAATGCATCATGGTCAGCAGGGTGCAAAGGGCCGGTTGGGGACGTGCCGAGCCTGTGGTACCTGCTGAGAGAAACGGGGCCCCGTGCCTTCACCCTGAACGGCTAAACTAAACTAAAACAATGTTTATCTTATCAGGTAAAGCCCACTGAGCTATGTAGCCCTTTATCAGAAGCGACCTGGCCACAAATGATAGCTCCACGAAGTGGCTTGTCGCGTGGAAATGTACAGCAGCCAAATACTCTTTCTAAATATGGAGGGAAAACCCAGAGAAACCTTGAGAAAACGCGTCAGGGATCGGGATTGAACCCACGACCTCCTGCATACCAGGCGAGGTCGTTAACATCTCGCCACTGTGACGCCGTTGCCGTGATCGCTCCACTGCTGGATGAAGGCCTCCCTTCCCCCGAGCTGTCGTCATCCCTCGCGATCCAGGGATGCAACTGATCTGTCCGGCGCCTACGCAGAAATTAATTTCATGGCTCTCATCTCGCTCGGTGGCTGTGGCCCACGGACGCGTCGCGGTCCCTTTGCCGAGGCCTTAAATTGACCTCCAAACGTTCTGGTCGATTTACGATTATATGTTCGATATTTAATGTAAAAAAAAAATCTCACATTTGGCTCACGTGTACATAATGTGGTAATAATTTGCGCTGTCTAATAAAGCCAAAGGTTTTGTGTAGATAAAGCGATTTTGAGTTTTTTTTTTACTTTAGTAGGTTCGAGTTTATGCTGAACCAGGTGGCAGTGGGATCGAGGCCTTAAACATCACGCCAGATTGGGCACACGGACCTCAGTTCAGTGTTCACGTGGCGCGAGTGGGGAGCGGTGGCGCAGCGGTTAGCGCTACACTGCGCTACGAACCCGGCTACCCGAGTTCGATTCCCGATCATGGCCAACACCGGTGACGATTATCTGAACCGGATCTGGGCCTCCACGAGGTCGACTCGGCTTCAAATGATTTTACCTGGCACGGTAAGCATCGCCACTGGGGAGACAAAGGCGGTCGGGCGTGGTGCTGGCCACCCGCCGCCTCGTGTGCCGTGCCGGCCTTCATAGGTGCTCGCTAACAGCACTTGCCCCAACAGTTTGATAAGGCTATACGGGGGATCTTTGTTTTGTGGCACTAGTGCCGCCTTGTGGCACGATTTGGAATTGAATTGTGTAATCAGTGAGCCCCCCCCGCCCCGTCATCCCCCAAAACGGTGAGACAACGCCAAGCGGCCAGCAACAGATCAAGGGCGTGACACGTTTCTTTAATTGAGCAAAGTTATTTATTATCAGGGCGTGGGAGAAAATAAACAACGGTGATGATGGGAGGGAGTTCCAGGGTGGAGCAGTGCGAGTGAAGGAGCAGAGAGAGGTTCTGTGTGGTGAGTGGGTGAGTTGGTGGGTGAGTAAGTTGGTGGGCGGGTGAGTTGGTGGGCGAGTGAGTTGGTGGGCGGGTGAGTTGGTGGGTGAGTGGGTGGGCGGCACGGGCGGAGTTTGCAGGGGAGGGGGCATGGGGGGGGGCATGGGGGGGCATTGCCCCCCCCCAACTGGACACCTTTATTAATGTACTTTCAGTAGTTTACAATTAAGATTATAAATACATTGCATGCACCCGCGATTCCTCATGTGGGGGGCAACGCGAACGCCTGCCGCCCCACAAATATAGAAGTTAGATTCCGCCTATGTTCGGCGGGTGAGTAAGTGGCCGAGTGAGTGAGAGGGTGAGTGGGCGGGTGAGTGAGTGGGTGAGCGGGTGAGTGGGCGGGTGAGTCAGTGGGTGAGTGAGTAGCGGGTGAGTGGGCGAGTGAGTGGGTGAGTGAATGGGCGGATGAGTGAGCGGGTGAGTGAGCGGGTGAGTAAGCGGGTGAGTGAGTGGGCGAGTGAGTGGGCGAGTGAGTGGGTGAGTGAGTGGGCGAGTGAGTGGGCGGATAAGTGAGTTGGTGAGCGAGTGGGTGAGTAGGCGAGTGAGTGGGCGGGTGAGTGAGCGGGCGGGTGAGTGAGTTGGTGAGTGTGGGTGAGTGAGTCGCTGGGTGAGCGAGTGATCGAGCGAGTGATCAGGCGGGCAGGTAAGAGCCAGACTGAATCGTTACCTCTTAGCGCACTGTCCAGAATATGAGCCCTCCCCCCTACCACCTGCAGATTATTTGAAATAATTTTTTTGCGTTGTGTCTTATAACCAGGTAGCTGTGCGTGTCCATGCGTGTGACCATGTACATTGTTGAATGACTGTACTGACACCGGGCACACTTTGAGGATGCGTCTCACTCACGGTGATTCTATACTCTATACTGTATTCCGGTGTTCTTCACTCATTTTCAGAGGGGGTGGGGGAATTGTCGCCGGTAAGACATCATCAGTGTGATCACCGCCACGCGTTTGAAACCGTTGTTGGGTTTCTGACAGCACGAGGATGATGATGATGGTGGTGATGATGGGGCGGTGTTCTCACCATGTATGTATTGTGGGGAGGCCGCACGAGGATGATGATGGTGGTGATGATGGGGCGGTGTTCTCACCATGTGTGCATTGTCGGGAGGCCGCACGAGGCCACCCAGGGGCAGGCCAGTGGCCCGCGGGCCTCATTGCATCGAAGAACATTGGGAGTATTCATTGGTGCTTTCGGTAAAGTCACGTAGAGAGAGAAATAATAATAATAAAGTGAATAAAAATAAAATCCACGACGTTTCGATCGCAACACAAGCGGTCGTCATCAGTAAAAGGTTTATCGAAACGTCGTGGTTTTTTTGTTTTTATTGCAATTTTTTATTTGTATTCAATTTATTTCGTGGTTTTATATTTCTTCTATCTACGTGACTTTACCGAAAGAACCAAAGAATATTAATTCCTGCAGTCACGAAAGCTTTAAGTCAAAATTGGGAGTGTTCCTTTCGAGGTGTTTGGTTTTTTTGACGCGCGTGGCTCTGCGTCGCTTGTTACAACGCTGCCAACACAGCAGCAGCCAAGGGTGGCACAGGCGGGTTTTTTACAATCGGGTTTAATTGTCTTTCTATATTAAACCCGATCATCTGAGATTGGGAGAAATCCGGTTTAATTGGTTCTAATTTCAGAACCGCACTTCTCGACGATGGGCTTCATCCATTCCAAGCTAAGGAACTCACTGGCACTCACGATTGTGGAGGAGAAGCTCGTGTTCATCAAGACCAACCTGCCCGCCGCATTCTACGACTACCCCGTGCCCGACGGCCCCCCCGAGTACGATAGCAGCACCGACGAGGAAGCAGCCTAAGCCTTGGATCAGAGTTTCGTATTCATTAAACCAGGTTTTAATTCCCCGAAATCGGGTTTAATTGTATTAAAGAAAAACCCCGATGCCTGCCGCTGGAAAAAAAAAATCGAGTTTTTTCCATCCATGGCAGCAGCTCCATCACCGTCTCCCGGTGTACAAGAGGCTCCACGCAGACGATCGTCCTTTCGGTGTCGCGTTTATTAGCAAACAAGACAATCGGTCGTCAACGTGAAGCCGAGACAGCAAAAACATTGCACCTTTGCCGACGATCACAAAGCGAACATTTGCAGGCTGTGCGTGCCGCCGTTGTCCAGACATTTGGGTTCAACACCGGGCCATTGACACTTAGACCCCGCGTAGCCCAACAGGCTCAGCTACGATAGTGCGTTTAACACGCAATAGTAGTAGTAGGCGGCTTTTGCGACCAATATTTTCCGTAATAAAGTGGTTGTTTTTGGGTGAGATCGCGTAAATATAAACGTGTCGTCAAATCCGCCACCACCCGACAGGGCCAATTAGCAACAGCGGTGTGCTGGACGAGTAACGAATTGGCACGTTTTGTTATCGTGACAAACCTTAAATCTGTGACTTCAAGCATCCGTGACTGCAGGGATTCATATTCCTTGGGTCTTTCGGCAAAGTCACGCAGATAGGTTCAAAGAAAATAACGAAAAACGACCGCTTGTGTTGCGATCGAAACGTCGTAGTTTTAGTTTTTTGATATTTTCTTTGACCCCCTATCTACGTGACTTTACCGAAGGACCCAAGGAATGTGACACGCCTTGCTCATTGGCGCTGTCGGGTGGTGGCGGCGTTAACGACACATTTATATATTTACGCGACCTAGCCCCCCAAAAAGACCTTCATTATGGACTAGCTCGGTGGTGTTATCGGGGGGCAGTCTCACAACATGTCACCACGTGCTGTGGGTTGCTCTCCCGCACCCCACGGTGGTGCTGCTCACGCGGTAATTGGGCTACGTCCCTTTTTATTCCTGCCCCCATGGCAATTGGCCTGTGTCGGGTGGAGGAGGGGTATACGACACAATATTGTTTAGTTTTTCTCAAGCGGCAGACAATTTGACGCGAAAAAAAATTGCGCGTGGTCACGAGATCCTAAGCGCGTTAAATGTGACTTTGATTCACTTTAAAGTAAAACGTTAAAGTTAAAAGTAAAACGTTAAAGTTGAAAGAAAATGTCACCGACAGCCAATCACAGTGAGGGCAAAACAAAAGGGGGGGGGGCTCCGGGTCAATCGTCACGCCCCCCGCTCGCCCCCCCCGAGCGACAAATGTCACTGCGGCGGTGTGGACGTGACCTGGACATTTCGCGACGTTCCTTTGGACGCAAGTCACGAGAATCCGGAGCGAGCCCCAGAAGCCGGACACACGCCGACTCCGCACACGGCGGTGACGAGCCGGGCACTGCACGGCTCCGCCACCGCGTGTCCAATGCGCGAACTGAACGGCGTTCACCACAAGACGTCCACAAACAACGAACGCCTCCTCCCGCTCGGACGCCGAGGATCCCGCCTCCCGCCGGGCTTCCAACGCCTGCTGCGAAGCTCACGGGGCCACAACCCCTGAACCACATCATCCACTGCACAAGCCATGGCAGCAGCAGATGCGGACACCTCGTGTATGTATGTACAACTTCTTTCCCACCGTACGTAGCTAACCGTGCTCATCGGAGATGCGGGGGAAAGACAACAAACTATACGCAAAAAGTAGTTCTTAATAAATGAGTTTTCAATCTAGATTTGAAAGTGCATAACTCCGGTGGCTTCCTAATCTCGGAAGAAAGAGCGTTCCAGACGGCCGCATCATGATGGTGATGCTGTGCAAGTTGAGAATTACAAACTCTCTCCAGCAGTGTGCGGCAACTGTGGTCACCACCTACAACTGAGACCATGGGACGTGTGACACAACTCCATGCCCGATTCACAAACACGAAGGAGGAGGCATCATCGCCGTCATGGCGACGATGCACCGCTCCTCTAGTCCTGACGCAATCACCCCGGCTCATCAACCAGCTCGACGTAGAATCACAGCCGCTGCTGCTCCAGAAACATGAGCCGCACAGAGGACGGTATCACGTTAAGACTTTAAATATTTTACCAAGAATAGCCTCACATTACGTCGCTTCTCTACCAAGGAAAGCCTCACTGAGGGCAAGGATCGCTGCTGTGTGCAATCCCAGTTGAGCAATTTGTGGTTTAATCTTTTCAAACTTTAGCAAAATTTGTTCCGTGACACCGGCACGCGATGGCCTACTCTTGTGAATTAGGTCACTGGATTTTAAACGTCCACTTTGAATGAAGCAGACGGCGCGTAATATTATTAATCCGGTAAATACAGCCGCAGTATTAATCAGGGCGGCCGGTGGATTCGAACCATGAACCCTTGCCACGAGTGTCCGAATGCGTAACTGCTAGCCCGGGCCGCCAATTTTTTGCTACAGTACGTGCTGTCTGTGGGGTTGGAGTGGTGGTGCAGCGGTTAGCGCACTGCGATATGAATCCGGCGACCCGAGTTCGATTTCTGGCCACGGCTACAATCGGTGGCAGCGAGTGATATTATCCAAACCATCCTGGGGCCCTCCTCCACCTCTTCACAAAGCCGCACTGCGGACCAGAGTGGTGAAGTATGGTCAACTCCCCCTCTCCCCATAACCGCCACATGGCATTGGTGAGGCCTTCATCCAGGAGTTGATTCTGCTAGAGTTTGCTATCCAGAGGTCGATATCCAATCAACTCCACAAAGCGCTATGAATAATAAAAAATAATTATGAAAGAGTAATTATTCATATAAGCGTAAAGTGCTGTTTATTTGATTGCAAAATGTTTGTCTAGCTTATTAAATTGATACGTGATACCACCTCCAAAAAAACAAATTATCCTAATTGATAATCAAGGCCAGGACGTGATGACTAACATCTGTGCCATCCCCCCCCCCTCCCCATGAATGCGCTTTAAGAAAGAAGCAGAACATTAGGAATTGGGTTTAAACAATGATACAGAAATTCACATTTTTTTTTTCAAATCCTCGAACATGTCTTCCACTAACCCAGTAAACGTGGAACCGTTGGGCCAAAGTTGACCCAATCACATGACAAAGTTGGCCCAATCACATTCCAAAGTTGGCCCAATCACATGCCAGCGTTAGGCCAATGTTGGGCCAACGGTTCCGACCACACGCCAACGTTGGGCCAAAGTTAGACCAACATTGGCAGTTTTTTCTGGGAATTTCAATATACAACACGATAAGTCCATGACATTTCTGCCACTCTAAGATACACAGCTGAACAACTTTCGCAATATTCAATCACCAGTCGATTGAATCTCGTGAAAGATACTCCGGGTATATAATAATACTAATTATAAAGTACAGTAGAACCTCGGAGATCAAACGCACCAGAACTCGAACAATTCGGTGTTCGAACGATATTTCCGAACATTTTTTGCCCCGGAAACCGAACGAAATTCGGAGGTCGAACGGGCAAACGCGACTTGAAAGAACCTGTACGGCTGAGACGCGTATGGCCAGCGTGCATGACGCTTGCCCAGACAAAGGTTTTACCGTATGAGAGGCTCGGTTAACACGTAGCTCTCACCCAGTGCAGACCCGCAAAACATCGTTCCTTAACCTTTTCGTTAATTTCCTTTCATTTTAGTGTTTTTTGGTTTTAATCCATACACAATGTTTATTGTGTTTCTTGTTTTTTGTATGATTTTATGCATGTAATTACTGTAAACTTCGTGTAAAAAGCTTTATGAGAGATTTCTTGTGTGTGGAACCAATTAATGTCATTTACATTCATTCTTACGGGGAAAATTAATTCGGTGTTCGAACAAATCGGTGTTCGAATGGCTTTCTGGAACGAATTAAGTTCGATCTCCGCGGTACCACTGCAGTTTGGTGACCGCACGTTGGCAGTGGTGCACATGTGCTATGAAGGGCCATTGCCGGAAATGTCGCCTATTATATTATTTCCATTTTACAGCCACAGGATTATAGCCGAACGTGTTATTGAATACCGTGTACTCCATCATCTCGTTTTGCGTCACACTGGGGCCCATATCGAACAGCGAGGGTCCTTTTGCCTATAAACATCTGGCAGTTCACCAGCATTGCTTCAAGCGCGCACATCTGACTGATTCCGCTGCTAATGAGACACTGGTGCAGATATTCGCTCTTATTGAATCAATGCTGCTGCTAAGATGCACTCACAGAAGGCCGTGCGGCCAATGGGATGTGTAAAATAATACTTTTATTTTTAATGCTGAGACAAAAATATGGGAAATTTAGGCCAATTATTCATTTTGTTCATGATAATATTCACTATACAGCTCGATGATGACGATGGTGAGGTGTTTTATAGAGGTATTGTAGTGTACTCCGGCGTGGCCCAAAAGTCAGGACGCAGAGCTTATGTGATTTATTTTAACACTGGCATTACAACATATGTATTGTTTATTCTTTAAGTTATTATTTGATCTGTTATCATTATAAATTCTGTTTGTTTTCTTCCCTTTCAGATGGCTTTTAAAAATGAAGCGGAAATTGGCATTAACAATTGATGAATAGGTCAAAGATGACACCTGCAATTTTATAAAAAGTGCTAAATTCATTTCAAAAGAGAATTCACGTGGACACTAATGTTAATGGGAGTCAGTTTGAGCATCTGTTACAATAAATTAAATAACCCGACGTGATTTGCTGAAATAAATATAACTCTGTGTGCCCTGACTTTTGAGCCACCGTGTATATAAGTAAACCACACTAATCAGACGACCCCCCCCCCCCCCCCCAGTGTTTTTTTTTTTTAAGCACGTGGATCAATTGCTCGCACGTGCAATCAGAATCCCAACTGGCCGAGTCTCAAGACACTCTTTCAAGAGGATCCTGCTCGGGAGTTTCAGACCAAATCTCTTCCAATAATTTTTGACCCTGAACGCTGCCCTCATGGGGTGGTAAAAAACTCTTGAGAAACGAACACCGGGAGCTCAATACTTGTTACGACTGTTATTATTATTATTATACTGGTAGGAACCTCCTGGTTACACCAGCCCACAGGGGATTATTGTGTCCGTCGTGCAGGGAGGGGCTGGGTGGGGAGGGAGGGGCTGGGTGGGGAGGGGAGGGTGGGGAGGGGCTGGGTGGGGACAGTGGGAAGGGGAGGGTGGGGAGGGGCTGGGTGGGGAAAGTGGGGAGGGGAGGGTGGGGTTGGGTGGGGAGGGTGGGGCTGGGTGGGGAGTGGGAGGGGTGGGGCTGGGTGGGGAGGGGCTGGTCACCCCGTGGTGCCCTTATAAAACTCAACATTTAACCTACTCACGCCGGCTTGTGCCCTCTCTTTCAGGAGGCTCCTTCTCAGGTTTCACAGTAGGGGGCGATGTTGCTGCTGCTGCTGCGTGATATCAACTGAGGAATGTGCAGGTACATTTTCCAACATTGAGGTGTTTTGCGGGCGTGTGTATTTTAGTGGCGAGGTGGGGAGCGGTGGTGCAGTGCTCAGCACACTGCGCTACGAACCGGGTGGCCCGAGTTCAATTCCCGCTCACGACCAACAACAATGGCGAATATCTGAGCCGGTCCCGGGACCTCCCGGTACCTTGTGTGGTGTGTAAAACCATTAGCACTGGAGAGACAAAGGCGGCCGGTCGTGTTGTTGGCCACCTATCCCCCCTTGTGTCCTAGATAGGGCCTTAATAGATTCCTGCTAACAGTACTTGCCCCAACAGCCTATTGAAGGCTATGCGGGGAATCTTTGTGTATGTGTGTAGTGTGTGTAGTGTATACAGAGGTCACGTACATCGCACACACGGAGCAATGACCACTGCCGGCAGAAAAACAAACAACGATTGCTCCTATGGATTGACAGGGCCCCACCATAGGAATGTGGAATTCCTCCGGTACGGCAGCCGAGATCAATGTCACCCAGTGTCCATTTAGAGCACGGTGGGGGCGTTGTGGGCAGTGGGGGCGGGGGGGACAGGTGGGGGAGGGGTAAACTATGAACAAAATTCATCGACGTTGGCACGACGTTGGCTTCCGACGACATTTTTGTCTTGGCACGTTATCGCTTCGCCAATGTCACCATCGGCGGCGCTGGGACGGATCGGCCGACGCGCTGTCGGCGGCGACGGCGGCGCTTCGGCCGTCACCTCGAGCCGTGAAGTATCTCGGCTCTCTCGTAAATGCCGCACGACGCCAAGTCTCCGATCGCCGGTCACGTGACCAATCAACCGCCCCCCCCCCCCCACACCGCGTGAAAGCGTTTGCGCACAGACCGCGGCGCAACCCTCGTTTTCTACAGGCGTCCACAGAGCCAACCGTTCACGTATTCACATATCCGCCCGCCTGGGGTCCCCAGCCAGTCGAATACGCGGCGTTGCAATGCAACGTTACGACGACGACGACGATGATGGCGACGATGAACATATCAGGGTACCGCCTCCAAATAATTTTGGTCGTTTCCGCGGCATCAATCAATAAAGATGATCGTTAAACAATCCCTGTCATGATATATTACTGTATATATTTATTTAACTTCTGTAATAAAGAGAGAACAGATTGGATTCTCAGATCGAATCGCGACCACGGATCGCTGCGAGGACTTACATACACCACCGCTACAGATCCGGTGCCCCCTACCGTTTCGACCCCCCCCCCACCATGTTGCGCCATCCCTCGGCTTGACGCAGCTGACCGGCGCAGGCGACCACCGTTTCCTCACCGTGAGCATGTTCTGTGGTTCTGTGAGCTGCGTGGTGAGCGAGGGCGGCGTGGCCATTGGGGAGCGAGTGGTTCTGTAAGCTCGCGGTAAAGTGAGCACGGTGAGGAATCGGTGGTGAGCGAAAGCACCATCGATTCGGTGGTGTGTGGGTGTTTCTGCGGGCTCCTAGGTGAGGCGATGGTGAGTGAGTACATCTGTGATATCCGCGGTGATCAAACCAGTGAGAAGACGGTGGCGGTGAGTGGGTGCCCCCATGGTGAACGAGTGGTCAGGGGGTGGTGGTGGTGAGTGGCGAACCACGTGGGTTAGGGGGTAGGTGAGGTGGTGGTAATGGTGAGTGGATCTCGATCCTGTGGTAGCGAGTGGCGAGGTGGTGGGCCACGTGGGTTAGAAGTCGGTGCGGTGGAGGTAGGTGGTTGTGAGTGGATGGCCCGGCGGTGAGCGAGTGGCGAGGGACTGTGGTGAGTGGCGGGCCCGTGTGGGTTAGGAGTAGGCGAGGAATTGCCTGAGCGGGCGAGGCAGCGGCAGCTGGGGCAGCTGGTGCAGGCGCTGGGGACCCAGGAACCCGCGCACAGCCAAGCGGCACAGCTGCAGCAGCGACGAGGGGTGTCCTGCACAGCGCACAGGACACACGCACGTACACACACACACACACGGGACACGCACAAATACAAGGATACCCCATGAAGCCTAAACAGGCTTTTGGGGCAAGTGTTGTTAGCGAGCACCTATGTAGGCCGGCACAGCACACGAGGGGGTGTGTGGCCAGCACCACGCCTGACCGCCTTTGTCTCCCCCGTGGTGATGTTTACACACCGCACCACGTACACAATGGCGTACGAATACAAAAAAAAGCGGCACATTTATCAATAACGCTGTGGCCTTAACATGAGAAACACATAAGAGACGATGGTACGCCGATTTGGAAGCAAGGCAGGTGCTGCAAGAGTTGACGGTGGTAAAGATGGGAGGAGAGTGGTGGTAGCGATGGGGGAGCGGCGATTGCGACGGCGGCGATGGGAGGGCGGCGATGGCCTGGGCTGGTGGCCCCGTACTCTCGTATCGCGCCAGCTGGGCCCAGCACGGCGACCCGGCGGGGAGGTAGTCGCTAGGCCGGCGGCCGCGGTTGTCACGGGCGTTGACGCGCGCCCCGAACTCAACGAGCAACTCGAGCAGCGCCGCGTCGTGCGTGCGCGCCGCGTGGTGCAGCGCCGTCTCGTGCAGCTTCGCCGCGTTCACGTTCGCTCCTGCGTGTGGGGGAGGCGGTGCCGGGGGGGGGGGGGCAGGTCAAAAGCCAACGCTTGAGTGTGGAGATTACTGTGATCGTGATGAGCGCAGTGATATTATGGCGAGTGAACCCGGTGATCGTGGCCAGTGATCATGGTGAGTGTGTGCAGTGAATGCCCGCGGTGATCATGGTGCAGATCGTGGTGACTGCTGCGATTGTGGTGAGCGATCATGGTGCGTGTGTGGCGTGAGCGATCTCGGTGATCGTGGTGAACGATCACGGTGATGGTGGTGATGGTTGCGAGCGATGGTTGCGAGCGATGGTCGTGAGAGATGGTGGTGAGTGCGTGTGGCGAGCGATCGCAGTGATCGTGGTGATGGTCGTGAGAGATGGCGGCGAGTGCGTGTGGCGAGTGATCGCGGTGATGGTGGTGATGGTTGCGAGCGATGGTGGTGAGCGATGGTGGTGAGTGATGGTGGTGAGTGCGTGTGGCGAGCGATCGCGGTGATGGTGGTGATGGTTGCGAGCGATGGTGGTGAGCGATGGTGGTGAGTGATGGTGGTGAGTGCGTGTGGCGAGCGATCGCGGTGATGGTGGTGATGGTTGCGAGCGATGGTTGCGAGCGATGGTGGTGAGCGATGGTGGTGAGTGCGTGTGGCGAGCGATCGCGGTGATGGTGGCGGCGCTGTCAGCACTCACCGGCGTCGAGCAACGCCCGCACGCACGTCTGGTGCTGCTTGTAGGTGGCGACATGCAGCGGGGTGCCCAGGTGGCAGTCGTGCGCCTCCAGGTGCGCGCCCGCAGCGATCAGCAGCTGCACACACTCCACACTGCCTGCATGCGCAGGGAGACACGGGGACACACGGGGAGACGCGGGGACAACGGGGACACACGGAGAGAAGCAGGGAGACACACAGAGATACGTGGTGTTGATGACAAGGCGCTGGCAACACGGTGGTGGTGCTGGTGGCGGTGGGGGTGGCACGGGGGCGGTGGTGGCGCACCGCCGAGGCAGGCCTCGTGGAGTGGCGACACGGTGAAGATGGAGAGGTTGACGCGCGCTCCGTGCAGCAGCAGCAGCCGCACGCACTCCAGGCTCCCCGAGGCGCACGCCTCGCACAGTGGGGTGCTCCCGTCAATGTTACGAGCCTCCACCTGGGGGGAGGGGGAGAGGGTGGGGATAGAAGGAGGTAGGTACGGAGGGGGTGGAGTTTATTTTGTGGAACCAGGCAATAACTCAGGAGACCGGCATAATTGACAAGGGTGTTTTTAGGCGGGTCACCTAAAACACAAAATGACAATAAATTACAGCAATGAAGCAACACGAAATTGGAGCAAAACAACCAAGTAGAAATCAGAGGATAATAGGAAGTGACGGAGTTCTGGGTTAAGTGAGAGGTCATCTTTATCGTCATCGTCACGGCTGACATGAGGTCACTGCGCTCGGGAATCTGGGCGACCACAAAAAACATTGATTTAATCGTCTCAGCTCGCCGGGTCAGAGGTCGTCGTTGTTCAGATGATGCCACGTGCCACCCCCCACCTCCCTCCGCCAGGTACCTGCGCGCCGGCGGAGAGTAGCATCTGCGTGCAGAGCGCGTGTCCGTTCTGGCAGGCCTCGTGCAGCGGAGTCACCGAGTCCACGGTGACGAGGTTCACGCAGGCGCCCGTCTCGATCAGCCGCTTCACCTGCAGTGCGCGGCCCAGCGACGCCGCCTCGTGCAGCGGCGACCGGTCGGCCCAGAAGCCTGCTGGCGCCGCGCCCGCCGCACCGCTCGTTAGAACGACGGTGGTCCGGTCGTTACGAGAAATAAATCAACGTATAGGGGGTTATTTCTTGAGCCCACTGCTCGTCGGCGTGATGTGCGGCCGTGGTGATGTCGCGAGCCACACCACGACCGATATCGCTCACCCCATCGTGAATCATTTTGACATCAACAGGCTGGTACACGTGGACCAGAAGTTCAGCAGTGGCTAGACAACGGCACGTGCAGGGTAAAGTACAAAAACAAAGTAAACGTCGAAGTGAGTTCCTGCTGTTCAAACGAGCACAGAGGCATCGGTGCTCCATCTCCCGTTTACGGCCCGGCTCGGCCAGTGGTGAAACTTCCAAATTGGTACGGTGGGGGACACATCTCTCCATAGGACAACCGCCGCTTACTTCTGCACAAAAGCAGTTTTTATCCACCCCAGAGGGATGACGGGCTCAGTCAACTTCCCAACCAGGATGTGAACTCGCAATGTCTTCAGATCGCCGGCCGCTCGCTCTGCCGCTCAGCCTCCTGGCCGGCTATCGTCATCATCATCATGGATGGGGGGGGGGGGTGGGGGGTGTCCAAACCTCCAGGCCCCACGGGCCACCGACAAAGAGCCACAAGATCACACGCGACCTGCACACGTGGGGTGTCCACCAGCGTTATTGCAATCGGTATGATCAGCTCGGCCAATCGGTGAACTCGACACCTATCGTCTACAGACACATGTAGCCAATTATCAGCTGGAGCACGGATACGGATGCCGGTTGGACCGTGGTTACATCACAGAATTGCGACAGGCGGCAACGGCATGGGGAGGCGTTTAGTCCGGATTGACCACGGCGGATGAAGATGAGAGCCGATTTATCATTTTTGGACTGAACCACGGTGCCTAATAATGTAACCAAATGATCTTGGGCACATCGTCGTCATTCTGACTTCGTTGATTTCGTCTCGTCACAGTCGGTCACGCGATGATCTCCGCTGGGCGAACGTAGTCAACGCCGTCACTTTCCTCCGACCGGAGTCGTCATCGACTCAAGGAGAACGTGCCGAGTCAGCGGATATTCCCGTGCGGTGGGGGGGGGTATGTGCCACACCCAATAACCCCACTCGGTAATCACCAACGCCATCAAATCGTCGTCATCATCATCATTGTCGTCGTCGTCAACCCGGGTGGTCACACTTCCTGACTCTACGAGCCGCGTTACCAAAACACTGCTGCTGCTGCTGCGGAGGTTTTTGTGGTTGCGCCGCACGGCCCTGCGATGTGTTTTCGGGTTGTGCCGCCACGTCTTGTTGTTGTTTGGCACCATGTCCGACGTTTCGCCCCACATGCTGACAGCTTCTGTACGAATGTAATCGATATTTACAGATGAACTGATGCATTGCTTCATGCCAAGCAGGCATCTCAACTCTGCTGGTTGGCAATCATGGTGGCTATGCACATGGCCTGTGTTAATCCAGCAGAAGGCAGTACAGGAAAATGCTGACCCCATCTGTTCCATCTGTATGGGATAAGAGTGTTGCCACGTCAGATGCGTGCGTTTTCTCAAAATGGTTTCCTCCCATACGTAAACACTGAATTGCCTGAAAACACCTTAATGGATAGGGAAGCGCGGAGCTGCGGCAATCGGTAAGCGCCGGCGTCACGGCCTGGCTGCTGCTGCCCTCCCAACCGCCGCCTGTGGCTCATTGTCGCGCCTCTCGAGTCGTCCTCTCTACGAGAGGCAGCGGCAGCGGCGCGTTACTAGTAGAAATTATTATTATTAAACCAGGACAATGAATAAAATTAGGCAACCTCAGTCAACATTTAAAAATCCTAATGTTACACGCAAGAATTCCTGACACCCCCCCCCCCCACCCCCGTATGTCAGGTATAATTTTGCGGGAAATTCTATCCTGAAAATATGGCTTATTTATGGATTAAGTTGACAGTTTGATAGACAATACCCGTAACGTACTGCACCACCACCGCCCAAGCGTGTTGCCGAGTCAGCCCATCCACATACGACCGACACCACCGCGGTATTGTACAAGACCGTTTCTCCTTTATCTTCTTCCAAGACGGCCCAGCCAGCGTGGACGGAGAAGCCCACAGAGAAAGCTTCCACCAGCAGTGGCCTGAGCGAGCAATCGTAGGGCTGCACCAACTCTCCCTCGTCAAGAGAGGTGGGCACAAATGATTTATATATCTGAATTGCAAAATACTGGTTGGTTGGTTGGTTGACGTGCCAGTCCCCAAATCAGCCGAGTGGTGTCAGGAGGGCGGGAGGGAGCATAGCTACCACTCCCCCTCCCCCCCTTCTAAATTCTAAAATACAAGTAAATTTGATACAACTGGTTTTGCGATAGTTGTAGGGGGCTGGACACAACGCGACAAATGATAGTTGAGCGATGGGCGTCTCGGCCATTCCTCTCGCACACAGCGGGTGGGTAGAGCCGGGGCAGAACGTGCAATAGACACGAGCAGATTGAGCCATCGCTCCTTCTGTCTATGATGTCAAACTCGCGAGTTCTCACATCGTGAAGTGTCCCAAAACGTCCGTCCCAAACCACAACAAGGGCACGAGGTGCGGTGCTCACCTCCATTTATAACCCAAGGCATGTCCATTCCACATTACGATGGCCAAGCACAGATAGCCTATCCATATGCGCACCAATGGAGACTTTCCCAAAACTCTGTTCTGTCTCCACATTTTAACGTATACATTTTTTTGTTCATTGGCCTATATACATAGGCTTTTCGGAATAATATTGTTCGGTGGCAATATTGTTCAGCAGCTATTGTAAAAAAATAATACTGCTGGATTATATTGGTCTGGAAAGCCAAACAGGTCGATGGGCTAACAAAAAAATATTTCATTTATTTGGGAATCGGATTGTGGGAGGAGCCGGCAGTGGCTTGGAGAGGCCTTCCACCAGCAGCTGATTGACCATGGCTGATGTTGATGTAGACTGTAGAGCAACAGCTATGATTTTACTTGAAGGTGGTTAATGAGCCAGATAATTGCGTCAGCAGTAGCAGAGTGGCGCATCACGGCTGTGATTATGTCTCCCCCTTCGTATCTGTGAATCGGGGCGTTGAGTCTGTGTTATATTTCGATCTGTGTTATACGTTCCACGGCCTCTGTTCTGCGTGACCGCAGTTGTACACACCGGGCAGTTTTTAATTGCCCGATTTTTTTGTTAATTTTACCCATGGCTGATGGCGATGGTACGGTGAACGGAATTATGCTGATGTCCCCCACCCGTGCCCACCGTGCTTTCCGCAGACAGCGGCGCACCGCGAGTTTAACGATGAAGACTTCCCGGAGGGTGGCGTGAGGGCTCAGCGCATCGATCTCTGCTCCGCCGTTAATCTTAATCCGCCCTTTCCGGGATCTCGCGGCTTTCGGGTTTTATCGTTTCCCAAACGCAACCACCGCTGACAGAAGCATCCTCGCGTCGCCCCGGCGACATCACCAGCTCGCAAATAGCCGATTACACCACTTCCCACCCCAATTCGGCGTTTCGTCACCGAGCCGGCTTTGGGCCACCGTCATCGGTGACAAATCGGGGACATCATCATCGTCGTCGTCGTCGGCAGTAGCAGCAGCACCAATCCCCTGGCGGTACAGGTGGGGGACCGTGGGGGAGGAGGAAAGGTGGAAGAGGGAGGTGAGGCATGCGTGGATGAGGTCATGTTGACACCACTTGCAAGATGACGCCTCCTTGCGCCATCCACGTGGATCTCCTTACCACGTGCGGTTGTCAAATATAATGATTAGTGACGGCAAGCATCGTTAGCTGCCATCACGATTGCATTGGAATCGCTGTACAATTACAACTGAACCGCGAATACGATCGATTACCAATGGAAACATTTCCAGTTGTAATATTTAAATTAAAACTCGGATGCTGAACACAGGCTCAAAAAGGCCTAGAAACGTCACAAGGGAGCAGTAACAAACAGCACGATGAAAAATGAATTGAACGAGGTGATTAAGAACCTGGGGAAGGAAAAAGAGGCGATAGGAGGTGAAGTTCAAAGAGGGGCAGTGCAAGGGATGACCCAGAATGAGAAGCGAGATGTTGTACATCTTGCTCCTTGGGCAGCCCCCGTGAGGTCATCATATCATCATCAGCCATGGTCAATTCACTGCTGGATGAAAGGCTCATCACATCTAATTATAGGCATGATGTACAGAGCATCACGTGTACTGGCCATCAGCCATGGTCAATCCACTGCTGGATGAAAGCCTCGTCACATGTACTAATAGACATGATGTACCTAGCATCACACGTACTGGTCATCAGCCACTGTCAATCCACTGCTGGATGAAAGCCTCGTCACGTGTACTAATAGACATGATGTACCTAGCATCACACGTACTGGTCATCAGCCACTCTCAATCCACTGCTGCATGAAAGCCTCATCACGTGTACTAATAGACATGATGTACCTAGCATCACACGTACTGGTCATCAGCCATGGTCAATCCACTGCTGGATGAAAGCCTCGTCACGTGTACTAATAGACATTATGTACCTAGCATCACACGTACCGGTCATAAGCCACTGTCAATCCACTGCTGGATGAAAGCCTCGTCACGTGTACTAATAGACATGACGTACCTAGCACCACATTTACTGGTCATCAGCCACTGTCAACCCACTGCTGGATGAAACCCTCGTCACGTGTACTAATAGACATGATGTACCTAGCATCACGTGTACTGGTCATCAGCCATGGTCAATCCACTGCTGCATGAAAGCCTCGTCACGTGTACTAATAGACATGACGTACCTAGCACCACATTTACTGGTCATCAGCCACTGTCAACCCACTGCTGGATGAAACCCTCGTCACGTGTACTAATAGATATGACGTACCTAGCATCACACGTACTGGTCATCAGCCACTGTCAATCCACTGCTGCATGAAAGCCTCGTCACGTGTACTAATAGACATTATGTACCTAGCATCACGTGTACTGGTCATCAGCCACTGTCAATCCACTGCTGGATGAAAGCCTCGTCACGTGTACTCATGGACATGATGTACCTAGCATCACGTGTACTGGTCATCAGCCACTGTCAATCCACTGCTGGATGAAAACCTCGTCACGTGTACTAATAGACATGATGTACCTAGCACCACATTTACTGGTCATCAGCCACTGTCAATCCACTGCTGGATGAAAGCCTCGTCACTTGTACTCATGGACATGACGTACCTAACATCACACGTACCGGTCATCAGCCATGGTTAATTCACTGCTAGATGAAAACCTCATCACGTGTACTAATGGACAGTTACATGCCATCACACGTGCAGGGAAAGTTGGGCATTATGTGCCAGAGGCTGCCACACACGCGAGGCGGGGGTTGTATGGGGTACTGAGGCTGAACACTGTAGGATATTTATACTGGCTCAAGTCGCCGTGTACCGCAGAGCGTGTGCTGGGGTTCTTACATCACCAGCGTGGTGAGCTCCCCGCGTAAACAGCGGCAGAACCACGTGCTCAGGCTTACAGTGGCAAGCAGATGACACAATGATGATGATGATGATTACTGTATTACAATTTTGATATTTGATTATGAGACTGATGATTACAGTTATATTTGGTGATGGCACTGATGATGTGTGGTGACTGTGAAATTAATGATGAAATTATTATCATTATAAATTATTAAATCGATCGTGAACATTGGTGATGACGGTGATTGGAGATGGTGATTATGAAATGATTGGTTGTGATATTGGTGAAATTGATTTACGAGTGATAAAATTTGTAATAATTGGTGATTAAATCCAAAGCCTGGTGATGTTAATACTACACTCTGCCGATTTAAAATAATTATAATGCAAAATGCCAATGATTTCGATTGTTGGTGACAATGAAATGGGTGACGATGATGTCCATGCTGGCGACTGATGGTTTTGCTCCTCGTGATGATAGCGGTGATGGTGAGATCGGTGCCGATTGACGGCTGACCGTGGTGAAACTGAAGGTGATGTTACTGATGATGTTACCGTTGCTGATGATGATTACGGTTCAACATTACCACCACCTTCTTGGTTCTTTCGGTAAAGTCACGTAGAATGGAAATTAAAAAAAACACAATATTATTATTTTATTATGTTTTATTTTTTTTATTTTATTATTTCCATTCTACGTGACTTTACCAAAAGAACCAAGAAGATGAATCCCTGCAGTCACGAAAGCTTTAAATCGAAAATTACCACCACCACCATCATCAAACACACAAAGACCCCCCCCCCCCCCCCCACGTGTAGCCTGTAACAGACTGCCTGGTGCAAGTGCTGCTAGCGAGCACCACGCCCGGCCGCCTTTGTCTCTCCCCAAGCGGCGATGTTTAACACGTCGCAACCAGCCAACTCATTTGAGGCCGAGTGGAGCTAGGGGGGGGAGGCTCAGGACGTGAGCGGGACACGAACTCGGGCCGCCGGGTTAACCGCTGCACCACCGCTCCCCTACACCACCATCACCACCATCATCACCATCACCACCATCACCATCAACCACCACCATCACCATCAACCACCACAACCACCACCACCATCACCACCATCATCACCATCACCATCAACCACCACCATCACCATCAACCACCACCATCAACCACCACCACCATCATCACCATCATCACCATCACCATCAACCATCACCACCACCACCATCATCAACCACCACCATCACCACCACCACCACCATCACCACCACCACCATCATCATCACCATCACCACCATCAACCACCACCACCATCATCACCATTACCACCATCATCACCACCATCACCACCACCACCATCATCACCATCATCACCATCAACCATCACCACCATCATCACCATCATCATCATCACCACCACCACCATCATCATTACCATCACCACCATCAACCACCACCACCATCATCACCATTACCACCATCATCACCACCATCACCACCATCACCATCAACCACCACCACCACCATCATCACCATCACCACCATCAACCACCACCATCACCACCACCACCATCATCAACCACCACCATCACCACCAACACCACCATCATCATCACCATCAACCACCACCACCATCATCACCATCATCACCATTACCACCATCATCACCACCATCACCATCATCACCATCAACCACCACCACCATCATCACCATCATCAACCACCACCATCACCACCACCATCATCACCATCACCACCATCATCATTACCATCACCACCATCAACCACCACCATCATCAACCACCACCATCACCACCACCATCATCACCACCACCACCATCATCATCACCATCACCACCATAAACCACCACCACCATCATCACCATTACCACCATCATCACCACCATCACCACCACCACCATCATCACCATCATCACCATCAACCACCACCACCATCATCACCATCACCACCATCACCATCAACCACCACCATCACCACCACCATCATCACCACCACCACCATCATCATTACCATCACCACCATCAACCACCACCACCATCATCACCATTACCACCATCATCACCACCATCACCACCATCACCATCAACCACCACCACCACCATCATCACCATCACCACCATCAACCACCACCATCACCACCACCACCATCATCAACCACCACCATCACCACCAACACCACCATCATCATCACCATCAACCACCACCACCATCATCACCATCATCACCATTACCACCATCATCACCACCACCACCATCACCATCATCACCATCAACCACCACCACCATCATCACCATCATCAACCACCACCATCACCACCACCATCACCATCACCACCATCATCATTACCACCACCACCATCAACCACCACCACCATCACCACCACCACCATCATCACCACCACCACCATCACCACCTTCATCATCACCACCATCATCATCACCACCATCATCATCATCACCACCACCATCACCACCGCTACCACCACCATCATCATCACCACCAACCACCACCACCACCATCAACCACCATCACCACCACCATCATCGACCAACATCACAATCACCACCACCATCGTCACCACCACCACCACCATCATCACCACCACCATCATCAACCACCATCACAATCAGCATCAACAGCGGAAAGCAAGGCCCACGCAGAGCCTCCAACAACAACAGCAGCAGCAGCAACAGCAGCAGCAGCCGCCCTGTCTCTCTCTCTCCTTCTTCCCGGACTCCTCCTACCGATGTCTCCAATGGCCGTAGCTCGCACGCCGCTCATCTTCGCGGGGGGGTGTGGGTTGTTGTTGTTGTTGCCCGCCCCCCCTCTCCGGGTGACAAGTCGAGAGGCGACGAAGAAGGTGGAGGAGGAGGGGAGACCGCGGGTTTCGCTTCGCCGGCCCCGAGGTGAGCGAGCCGGCAGCACACGCCGGGTCACTCTCACGGGACGCGTGTGAGTGTGTGTGTGTTTATATCTGTGTGTGTGTGTCTGTGTGTTTATCTGTCTGTGTCTGTGTGTTTATATCTGCGTGTGTGTGTGTCTGTGTGTTTATCTGTCTGTGTGTTTATCTGTCTGTGTGTGTGTGTTATATCTGTGTCTGTGTGTGTGTTATATCTGTGTGTGTGTTTATCTGTCTGTGTGTTTGTGTCTGTGTGTGTGTGTTATATCTGTGTGTGTGTGTTATATGTGTCTGTGTGTTATATCTGTGTGTGTTTGGGCCTGAACGACAAACCGAGCGAAAATGGATCCGCACGCAGCCTCAGACATCAACCACGACTCCTCCTCCTGCTGCTGCTACTCCCTCTGCCGACAACCACCACCCAGTCCACCACCACCCACTCCACCACCACCACCACCACCACCCACTCCACCACCACCACCCACTCCACCACCACCACCCACCTCCACCACCACCACCCACTCCACCACCACCACCCACTCCACCACCACCACCCACTCCACCACCACCACCCACTCCACCACCACCACAACCACCACCACCCACTACCACCACCCACTCCACCACCACCACCCACTCCACAACCACCACAACCACCACCACCCACTCCACCACCACCCACTCCACCACCCACTCCACCACCACCACCCACTCCACCACCACCACCCACTCCACAACCACCACCACCACCACAACCACCACCACCCACTCCACCACCACCCACTCCACCACCACCACTCCACCACCACCACCCACTCCACCACCACAACCACCACCCACTCACACACTCCACCACCATCACCCACTCCACCACCACCCACTCCACCACCACCCACTCCCACCACCACCCACCACCACTCCACCACCACCCACTCCACCACCACCCACTCCACCACCACCCACTTCACCACCACCCACTCCACCACCACCCACTCCACCACCACCACCCACTCCACCATCACCATCCACTCCACCACCACAACCACCACCCACTCACCCACTCCACCACCCACTCCACCACCCACTCCACCACCACCCACTTCTCCACCACCCACCCACTCCACCACCACCCACTCCACCACCACCCACTTCACCACCACCCACCCACTCCACCACCACCCACCCACTCCACCACTCACCCACTCCACCACCACCCACTTCACCACCACCCACTCCACCACCACCCACTCCACCACCACCCACTCCACCACCCACTCCACCACCCACTCCACCACCACCCACTTCACCACCACCCACCCACTCCACCACCACCACAACCACCACCACCACAACCACCACCACCACCACCCACTCCACCACTCACCCACTCCACCACCCACCCACTCCACCACCCACTCCACCACCACCCACCCACTCCACCACCACCACCACCACAACCACCACCACCACCCACTCACCCACTCCACCACCCACTCCACCACCCACTCCACCACCACCCACCCACTCCACCACCACCCACTTGACCACCACCCACCCACTTCACCACCACCCACCCACTCCACCATCCACTCCACCACCACCACAACCACCAACACCCACTCACCCACTTCACCACCCACTCCACCACCCACTCGCTCCACCACCACCCACCCACTCGCTCCACCACCACCACCCACTCGCTCCACCACCACCCACTGGCTCCACCACCACCCACTAGCTTCACCACCACCCACCCACTCGCTCCACCACCACCACCCACCCACTCGCTCCACCACCACCCACCCACTCGCTCCACCACCACCACCCACCCACTCGCTCCACCACCCCCACCCACCCACTCGCTCCACCACCACCACCACCACCCACTCGCTCCACCACCACCATCCACCCACTGGCTCCACCACCACCCACTGGCTCCACCACCACCCACCCACTCGCTCCACCACCACCACCCACCCACCCACTCGCTCCACCACCACCACCCACCCACTCGCTCCACCACCACCATCCACCCACTGGCTCCACCACCACCCACTGGCTCCACCACCACCCACCCACTCGCTCCACCACCACCACCCACCCACCCACTCGCTCCACCACCACCACCCACCCACTCTGACTGCAGGGATTCATCTTCTTGGTTTTTTCGGTAAAGTCACGTAGAAGGGAAGTAAAAAAAATAATAAAAAGAAAATATAATAAAATAATATAATAATATAATATAAAATTAAATAATTCCCTTCTACGTGACTTTACCGAAAAAATAAAGAAAATGACAGTACCATTCATGTGGCAGGGATGATGGTGATTATGAAGGTGGTTTGTGAAGCAGGGACGTGAGGTCAGGGGAGGCAGGCGAGGCAGAGCCTCGCCTGTCATACTCCAATAAAAATAGTTGTTACGAAAAGAAAAAAAAAGGAATAATAAAAAAAATATTAAGATTTCTACACTGATCTGTGTTATAAATGTCATTTTTGTACGATTCCAATAATTTTTATAGTCAAAATCGCCAAATTTGCGGAGCTCCGCTGCAAATACAGGAAGAGACGAGAGGTGAGGCAGCGACGAGCCCAGCCTCCCCTCTGATTGCGCAACCCCTCAGTAACTGGATGGAGCGCGGGCAATAAGCGCGTGCCTGTTACTATCTCAGTATGTCACCAATGTAATGTTTGTAGACCCCTTCATTTCATGTCCTCGCCTTCCATACTTCAGGTAATTTATTTCACGTATGTGTATAAATATATTTAAGCTCGCTGTTCTCGTCATGAAACTGCAATGAAAAAGCACCAGGGGAGGCAGCTATCACATCTGCCTCACCAAGGGAGACGTGTCTAACACGCCCCCCTCAGTGAGGACACGCCCCCCTTAGTGTGTGAATCTGGCTCTGATATTAGCCAGTGCCTCCCCAGCCATTGACCTCACCGCACGTCACTGCTGTGTGAAGTAACAGTTACAAATTGTCACCGACGGTATAATCAGCTGTCTCAATTGGGACCATACTATCCATTGAAAGCATTGCCCCCTACTGGCAGACTAATGCCCACTCTTGCAAATGAGACTCATCCTGGACTCACCACCTGGTTAAACAAAATTAACCTCACGAATTCATCCTCAAGATCATCATCATCCGTCGTCACGAACTTCAATTTCCTATTCAGCATCACCGTCGTCATGACATCGTCGTCATGACATTCACCGGCAGAGAATCGCCATCGATTCAAACTTTCACGATGGGGGAATCGTAATACAGGAATAATACAATTTAGATAAATAAATTAATCGATAATTAATTTCATCATCATAATCACATGGTGACCATTTAATCATCAGTCAATTATAATCGCCAACAGTAATCACAATTCAACCATTAATAAGTAATATTAAAAAAAAAAATTTTAAATACACGCTTTAATTAAATGTACCCTACTCGTAATGGCAAAACTCCACGACTCCAAGAAGTGGCCCCGAAGCTTGCCATAACCTAAGTGGCCGTGGGCAATTACAGCCAACGTCAGTTGAGCGTGGACAATTAGACCCAAGCCGAAACATAACATATAAAAAAGAATGTTTAAACATTTTTTATATTTAAATGATAGAATATCGTATTGTCATCAGTATGACATAAGTATACAAAGTTTGCAGTCAATACATTGGGAAGTGGGTTAAATGTGAGTTACAAGATTTGAGGATACAACAACAGTGAGTTGCTAGAAAGCGTGTAAAAAATTGTTTAAAATCTCTATTTTTTATTTTTAAGATAGGATATAGTATTGTCATCAGTATGACATAAGTATACCAAGTTTTTAGTCGATACCACATTGGAAAGTGGGTTAAAATTGAGTTACAAGATTTGAGGATACGACAACAACAACAGAGTGAGTTAAATAAAAGCGTGTAATAAATATCACACGTGGAGGCAGGGATACGCTGATGTTTGACAGTACTAAATCTAACACGTCATCAGCACTGGATGTATGCAGAGGCTGCATGTTCTATGTTCTAACTGCTGGATTTTGGTCTACGTATCCAGTCCAGTACATGACCCCAGTGTACATGAGTGTGTCATAAAATATATACTGTACAAGATAGCTGTAACTTGTGTACACAATTACTCTGCGGTATCCCCACATCGTGTCCCTGCTGCCACATGCACGTACAGTATGTAATCATTCTCTATCTCCTACTGGGTATCGTCTCGGACGTATCCAGTTTGGGAGATGTGCAATGTGTGGCGTCGATTTGTGGCATCGTGAGACCAGAGTGGACTGTCGCCGTCACCAGACAGGCAGGTTCTATCCACTGCTGGAGGAAGACCTTCTCCCCCCCCCTATCCGTCGCCATCCGTCGGTGGCGAGGTTGTGAGATGGGATGGCCCAGCTATGCAGCAGCGGTTCATGCATCACTCGCCACTGATGTTAGCCGTGGTCGGGGATCGAACAACAGTTCAGATGGGGTCTCTGATATGAGGCAGCGAAATCGAACTATTGGCTTAATTAAATACAGGATGAATTAGCATCTCACCGCGGTGACGAGGACATGTCATCATCTTCCTCGCCTGGTTACGCAGGAACACGTGGGTTCGATCCCGGATCCTGGCGATGTCTGTTGTATATTTGGAGGTCACTCTCGCCCGTGGTGGTGGTGGTGGTGGCGTGGATTGTTCTCTCCGGGTTCCTCCGATTTTGCCCCCCCCCCACCACCACCTCTCCACTTAGAAACATGCGTTTCGATTATTTGTCTGCTGCTATAAATTCCCACGTGTGACGATGATGACTTTAGCCACTATCGATGAGCTGCTAGTCGTCACGTGTGGCCAGGTCGTCTCTGAAAAAGAGCAAAGTGCCTAGTTGGCTTTACCTGGTTTGAAAAAAAATAATAGTCTATTGTTTAGTTCGGGGGACGGCGGGGGGGGGTAAAAACATCAGATGTCTCACGCACGTGAGATTCGCGGGAGCAGCAGCTGTCGACTGAGCGCGTGGGAGGAGGGAGAGAGCACATTGTGTAGCCCTGACGGTGCGTCCGCAAACTCAACCTAAATCCGAACACAGCACATGGCCCCTGCGCGCATCCACGTGTTTCCAGCGGTGATGACAACAGCCACTTCGCACTCTGCGGGGGGGAGGGGGTGTGTGTAGTGGTGTGGTGGGGGTTGATGGGAGGGTGATGGTGCGGTGATGGTTTAGGCCATTGGCAAGTGAACTAATTGCTAGCAGCACAGATGGAGGCGAGAGAGAAATGCCTCCTATCAGAGAGAGAAATGAGTGAATAATAGTTGGAGACTGCACGCATACAGACCATGCTAATGTGGGCAGAGATAGAGACTTCTCCATAGACAGCATGGGGCCCCGGGTGGTGTACAGACAGA